ATGTTGATAGGGTTGGACTACCTATTTTTTACTATTAGGAGGCACCAGATAGGCATGCACCACATAAATCGTTCGATTTGTATGTGAGCTATGATATTGCCCGAGTGTCCAAACCGAAGCAGGTGCTTTTCTTAGGGGGCCACACTCGGAGCCTTCGACCTATAGATCTTACCAAAAGGCAGTGGAACATCGTCAGGAGACGCAGTCCCATGGTAGCCAGTGACCAGCAATTGGTTCATGCGCCATTTGTTCCTTCAGAATCCTGGAGCCCATATTCACCACTAGTTTGAAATCAGGGTTTCCCAACTCCCCCAGGTGGATCCTCCATATCCACCAACCCCGTTAAAACGCCGGACATTCGCTTTCCGTGCCCTCAATTTCGTAAACAACACCCCTGGTTTGAGAAGGCAGTGGGTATGACTTGCCTGTCAGTGATTGTATGCACGTGGACATGTGAAAGCATCCGTAGAGAGAGAGAGAGAGCGGACTCTCCCTACACTAGGCCGTACTGTTGAACTGGATCGTATTGCTTAGCCCAAACTACACGGATAGTGTCCGTTTAATTATTGCAGCCAATGGTTGAAAATGTTGGTTGGTAGGGCTCAGAATCAGCCACAATTAACTAAATACATCCACTCTTTGTCTTTTCTTGGATCTTTAGTTTCAAAATTATCTTATTCTTTCATCATTCAAATTCATTCTCGAACTGTATCATCCATAATTGTTGGTATCTAATGATAATAATGCTGTTATTACTTCTACTTCTCTCTCTTGTTTTTAATATCTCATTTTGTTGACTGTACAAAATAAATTCTCAGATTGACTTCTCACCTATACGATGTAATCAAACAATACAATTAGTATCTATTCGCTTAATTGTTATTATGTTATGCCACTTTTAAAAGGATGATTGTAAACAAAGTTAGAAACTAATGGTCAAATGATAATGTCATTAGTGTTTAATTGCTTCACACCGGACATGGTTGAAATCCACTGGTCACGACTTCGCACTACAACTCATTTTTAATTCTTTTTGGTGTCTTTTTGATCAATAGTAGTCTTTTCCCGCACAATGATCTTATACACTCTGATTATTTTAATCTCTACCAAATAAATGATTTTTCCAATATTCTAAATTAATCGATCAATTTGTCTTCTTTTCCCAATATACACTAGAGTAAACATGACTATCATTTTTGGGACACTTTCATACCACCGAAATTTGTGAAAGACTAATTCCGTCTTTACATACTTTCAATAATTGTCATTTGACAAGGATTATTTCTTATATTACGCTAATAGATCGATCATTCGTATTTCCCAGTCACTTCATATTGATTAGTGATTGATTCTGATATCACGTAGCTATCAAGATTCGACAATCACTCATGTTTATTTACTCCAATACGAAACAAAAGTGAATCGAAATGTACCATGAACATTTTTTTAGAGATATGTCGAACTCCAGTATTCTGTAACAACTGGTTACTTACACCTGTTACTCCTCGTGAAGGAGCATAGGCCGCTCACCAGCATTCCCCATCCAATCCTGTCCTGGGCAATGCTTTCCAGCTCCGTCCAGTTGTAATTCATCCTTTTCATATCTGCTTCTATTATCCGACGCAATGTGTTCTTTGGCCTTCCTCTTTTTCGCTTCCCTTCAGGATTCCAAGTTAGGGCTTGCCTCGTGATGCAGTTTGACGATTTGCGTAATGTATGCCCTATCCATTTCCATAGTCTTTTCCTAATTTCTTCTTCAGCTGGAAGTTGGTTTGTTCTCTCCCACAGTAGGCTATTGCTGATGGTATCTGGCCAATGGATGTTGAGTATCTTGCGTAGACAGCTATTTATAAATACTTGTACTTTCTTGATTGTGGTTGTTGTAGTTCTCCAAGTTTCAGCTCCATACAGTAGAACTGCCTTGACGTTCGTATTGAAGATTCTCACTTTGATATTGGTTGAAAGTTGTTTTGAGTTCCATATGTTCTTCAATTGTAGGAATGCGACCCTTGCTTTGCCGATCCTCGCCTTTACTTCTGCATCTGAACCTCCTTATTCATCGATGATGCTTCCCAGGTATGTGAAGGACTCTACATCTTCCAGAGTTTCGCCATCAAGAGTGATTGGATTGCTGTTCTCCGCTTTGAATTTGAGAACCTTGGTTTTCCCCTTGTGTATGTTGAGGCTTACTGATGCAGAGACTGTTGCTACACTGGCTGTCGTTATTTGCATTTGTTCGTGTGTGTGCGATAGGTGGACTAGGTCATCTGCGAAGTCCAAATCGTCTAATTGTTTCTGAGCTGTCCATTGTATGCCATGTTTTCCTTCAGATGTTGAGGTCTTCATAATCCAATCGACCACCAGAACAAAGGAAGGGAGAGAGTAGACAGCTTCGTCTGATTCTGGTCCTTACTTGGAATGCATCTGTCAGCTGTTCTCCATGCACTACTTTGCACTGTAGTCCGTCGTATGAGTTCCGGATAATGTTGGCAATCTTCTGAGGAACTCCATAGTGTCGAAGAAGTTTCCATGACGTTCTATCTACACTGTCAAATGCCTTTTCATAATCAATGAAGTTGAGTTACAGTGACGAGTTCCACTCAACTGATTGTTCGACGATGATCCGTAGTGTTGCAATTTGGTCTGTGCATGAACGATCCGCACGGAATCCAGCTTGTTGATCTCGAAGTTGGGCGTTTACTGCGTCTTTCATCCGGTTCAGCAACACTCTGTTGAAGACCTTCCCTGGTATTGACAGTAGTGTAATGCCTCTGTGGTTTTCACATTTGCTCAGATCTCCTTTCTTTGGAATCTTGATGAGATGCCCTTCTTTCCAGTCCATCGACACTTGTTCCTCCTCCCAAATCTTTTTGAATAGAAGGTGAAGTATGTTTGTAGTTACTTCGATGTCTGACTTCAGTACTTCAGCTGGTATATTGTCGGATCTCAGCAAGTGTTAGAAACACAGAGGCTTCACACTACTATCGGTACCAGGAAAAGTTTTCGACAGAGTGTTGTTGAACCGAGTGGAAGATACAGTAGACGTCTAACTTCGAGATCAACAGGCTGGGTTCCGTAAGAATCGATCATGCACAGACCAGGTTGCGACACTACGGATCGTCGTTCAACAATCGATTGAATGGAATTCGTCACTATACATCAACTTCCTTGATTATGAGAAAACTCTTAACAGTGTGGATAGGAGGAACTTAAGGAACCTTCTTCGACATTATGGTGTGTCTGAGAAGATCGTCAACATCATACGGAATTCATATGACGGATTACACTTCAAAGTCGTGCATGGAGAACATGTGACACATGCATTCCAATTGAGAATCAGTGTCAGACAAAGCTATCTACTCTCTCCCTTTCTCTTTCCTCTACTGATTGACTGCATTACATACATACACAAGGGAAAAGCAAGATCCTCAAATACAACACAGAGAGCACCAACGCAGTCACACTTGATGGAGAAGCTCTGGAAGGGATAGAAGCTTTCACGTATCGAATCAGCATCATCGACAGACAAGGATGATATGACACAGATGTTAATGTATGAATCGGCAAAGCAAGGGCAGTATTTCTACAATCGAAGAGCATATGGGACTAGAAACAACTGTCAGAATCTTCAATACGAACGTCAATGCAGTTCTATTACACGGAGGTGAAACGCGAACTACTACAACTATCATCAAAAAGGCAAGGGTATTTATAAACAGTTGTCTACGCAAGATACTCAATGTCTGTTTGCCGGATACTATATGCAACAACCTACTATGGGAGAGAACAAACTAGCTTCCAGTTGAAGAGGAAATTAGGAAAAGATGTTGGATGCGGATGGAACATACATTGAAGAAATCACCAAACTGCATCACGAGGCAAGCACTAACTTGGAATCCTGAAGGCAAGTGTAGAAGAGGAAGGTCAAAGAACAAATTACGTCAGGAATTGGAGGCAGACAAGGAAAGGGAAAATAGCAACTGGAAAGGATTGTCTAGGACAGGTTTCGATGGCGAATCCTGATAGGTGTCCTATGGTCCTCCTCGAGTAGTAATAAGCATAAATAAGTAAGTGTTCTATAATTCACAGCCAGTCCTCATATATCAAATGTACATTTTCAAACTAAAAATGATCTCTTCATAGGTAAACTCAATTTCAGAAATAATTCTATGCCTACACTAACGACTAATATTCAGATGGATTTATATACTTTTATATGTGGAAAAGATATCGATCAATGAAGTCAACAAATTCGTGAGTGATATAAAATGCACCAAATAACGATATTGTTTAAGGGCTGAGATGAAACTGAAAACGTCTGAATCATCCCCACCTAGGGCTGAGACTCTGGAATACTGCGTACAGTTTAGACACGCATTGGGATTTTGTCACTTGCTGTTTTGCTTTGGAATATATTTACGTTATGTTCAAGTAGTGTTTTGATTTGAAAACCGGTCGAGTGGAGTGAAGTGTCCAAGAATACTAAGCAACATAAGCAAACTTAGTAGTTTCCTAATTGATGCAATTTAATAATAAGAATTTTCTCCACATTACACACTATACATAATATTTACTGAACGTGTAAATTTAACCCATTTCATCTTGTTATTACTCACGGCGTCCGAAGCTGATACTATTAAGCAAACTCCCGAAGTATAAGCCTCCAGCTGGTTACCATGTGAGAAGACCAATTAATAAGGAAGGAATTTATTGCGCTAAACTGGATCACATACATAAATCCATTTCTCTATCAATCACATGCACTTGCCATTTTGGAGATTTTTTGATTGACACAACGTGGCCTTGTCCATTAGCGTCTTTTGATTGGTTCACTATCACATTTCCTTGAAAATAAGTTCGTCTATTAGCGTTAAAATGACCCCCACTTTGTTCTGGATAAAGTTACCACATTACCTCTCAATGAATATAGTTGATGTATTTTTATGGCTCTTTTCTTTTTTCATCATTCCTTCTTTCATACGATATATATACGTATAAAGTCATGGGGCCTTACATTCATGAGATATTATGCAATCAACTTGGATTAAATTCAGAGTTAGCTATTAAATCTCAACCGTTAGAAGATTTTGGCGGTGGTCATCCTGATCCAAATTTGACTTATGCGGCAGATCTTGTCCAAGTGATAGTGGCTGACTCATCAATTGCAATGGCAGCCGCTTTTGATGGTGATGGTGATCGAAATATGTTGATTGGTCGACACGGTTTTTTTGTATCACCATGTGATTCGTTAGCTGTGATTGCAGATAATACAGATTGTATTAAATATTTTCAAAAGAATGGTGTTCATGGATTTGCACGAAGTATGCCTACCAGTAGGGCACTTGATCTGTAAGTTTTGCTTGTCTTATCCCTATATAACTGGGTTATATCAACTCCATGTGATCGATTTCAAACCATGAACCTTCTGGGTTTGTTAGAGTCATTAACGTGAATATAAACACATGAATATGCCAGGGACATCCAGTTGAATAGGGTGAAACACACTTGTTGGGTGTACTAAACGTACTAAAAGACTAAGAGCTGTGTCAGGCCAATCATCTTACGATGCACCTATGACAAATAAACTGATTAGTTATAGCGAGACTATAAAACCTTAATAATACATTCATACTCGGTATATAATTTCGCGGTTATCTGGGCTCAGTAGTTCAGCATTAAGTGGTTGGAAGTAGTTGTTGACAGGATGACATGACTTAGTATTTATAGCCAGACAAAAATAAGCTACAGACATGTGATGTGTAGAATAAGCATAAAGACACATACGCTCATATAAAAATACTCAAAGTTAATAAGCGAATAATTGACAAGGTCAAAATGTGACTCAAGAAAAATGAATAAACTGGTCTGTCTGGAAGTTAAAATAACCCATTTCGGCTCGACATAGTACTAGACACTACAAGTATATCTGCTGTCCAGTCGCTTAAACTAGTGACCATAGAATGTTGCATTGGTATTTGAACTGACAGATAGTAGTTTTGGCTCTCAATACCATCATGCTGACACATCCATGTGGTGAGTCCAATATGGAATGTAATGCACATGTTGGATTCTATTGTGAGGCAATATTCAAAATAATAATCATTTAGTGTATTATTTTGCTGTATAAATTCTCCCTGTATTAGTGAAAACCAGAGTTTAGTTGTATATCATCTTTCTATTTGGATGTATTGTATTACAGTGTATGTAAAAGTCGATCAATGCAGTGTTACGAAGTTCCAACAGGATGGAAATTTTTCGGTAATTTAATGGATGCTAAATTATGCTCTTTATGCGGTGAAGAAAGTTTTGGCACTGGTTCTGATCATATACGTGAAAAAGATGGTTTATGGGCATTACTTGCATGGTTGTCTATTTTGGCTAAACGTAGTCAAATTGGTTTGCCAGTAGATGTCGAGTCAATTGTAATGGAACATTGGAAGAAATACGGAAGATATTTTTTCACTAGGTAGGTTACTTTCAATAGTAGTTTACAACATTAGAAGAATAATTGTTTATCAAGAGGAATTACACAGCGTTTACATATTACGTTTACACAGCCTTCGATTATCAATTTTCATCTCGAGGTCTATCCTACAATCCAAAGTGTCTTCTCGTCTAGTCAACAAGTGTTTTGGCTTACCTCGTGCTTTCAATGTACTGAAACTCTTAATCACGTCTGACGACGGTGACAACTTCGACGTCACTTTCCACAACATACTACTTACAAGCTATCTTGTAGGTAACGTCCTCTATACACGCCTACTTCCATGGAATTGTTGAACCTAAAGTCATCCTGACCTCCGTGGTTCTTTTGTCACAGGCTCCGTTCTGGTAATCCACTAAAGCCACTTTTAGAGCTGGCTAGTATCCACGCGTTTCCCTTTGTTGCCTTTCTGGATGGTATATACCGGTCCTAGTATCCTGGTGACTACATATAGTTCTTCCCACATGAACAGTAGATTTCGCGAGCCAAGTCCACCTCCTACTATATCCTTTCATCATTTACATTTCACCTTATCTGAGATCTTCTACTTTTCCCCTTCATACTTGTTATAACTTGTAGCCTGTGTGCCCTGTTAATGTATAACGTCATGATACCGCCAATTAGAGAACAGTGAATTATCGATCGGATCAATGACGCACAAAACCCTTGCGTGCAGTCTAGAGTACTTATCAGTCCTGCTTCCTGCCTAGTCCAACCAGTTAAGTCCAGAACACCAATCTCAGCCTCTGCGATATGAATCATTTTTTTCAAAAATACTGGGTTTATATACCATGCAGACAGACCACATCGTACCATAAAATAGGAAACAACATTTGTTCAAGATTTAGCCAAATGTGGCTGTGAGTGTGGGAGATAGTAATTAATAAACAGGTCACAACTCAAGAATGGTAAGTCGTATAATAATCACAGGTCAGAATAAAGGTCATAATAAGAGTGTCATGAATATGAATAGTTTAGTTATTTAACAATTAAACAATAAAAATATACGCATACTATTGGTCCATAAATGGATCCCAAAATTTACCATTCATTATGCTTATCGGAACATAACAATACTGTTTGAAACTCCTTACATCCGTCTATTGTTTCTGTCGCACATTTCTCACCGCTTGTTCTCATTCGTCCTGCCACTTTGTGAACAACCATCTCTGCTACTGCGGCCACGTTTTATTGTCCCCTAGCAGTCGCGTTCTTTTGCTGTACATCGACTGAAACAGCGACCTTCTAGTGGTTCCTTGTACTGCGGCGCGATGAATTAGCAATACCATCGGTAGTTCTGTCTCCCAGGCTTCCCTTCTTGTTCTTAGCCGGTTCTTTAATGTGCGATTATTTTGTTGTGTTAGCTCTTTGGTATGGTGTTGTTCGGATTCCCTCGATATCCAGCTGACCTAGGTACTATGCAAACTCGTCACTCTCAAAACATAGATCTGGATTTGTTAATATCCTTTTTGGAACGTCGTGGTTCGCCACAATGTGTCTAATTATTGCATTTGTCACTGTCCTTTGGCATTTGTCAAGAATCGCAGCCACGTCCAGTCAACATATGGCGTACTTTTTCGTCACTAACAGGTACAGATGAGGACACAACTTCCTGATGTCCACCAACCGTAGACCGAATTACTGATAACGAACGGTTGTTCATGGATCAAACTGCATTGTGTTGACTCCGAAAACCACTTCGGGTAAATGATCTTTCTCTGTTCATGATAGATAATCTGGAACCATATTTTCCCTCCCCGGTACTTGATCCATCGTAAAATCATTCTCCTGTAGGCGCAATGACCATCGTGATAATTTCTCTCGAGGGTATTTCGCTGTTTCTATCCATTGTAGCGTCTTATAATCTGTCTCAATGGGGATTCGTTGACCAAATAGATACGATCTGCGTTTGTCTACCTCCCAAACGATCGCTAAACATCCTTTCTCGATAGTTGAGTACTTCCGTTCGATAGGCATTAACACGTGGTTGGTATATATATATATATATATATATATATATATATATATATATATATATATATATATATATAGTAGTGAGAATAACGAGAACTACTGACTATTGAGGAACTGTCTTGAAAAGGCGATACAAGGGTTTACATGAAAGTGTCGTGGATTTCAGGATTGAAAGGAAGATAAATTGTGAATACGTCTACACCATTGTGAACGATTCAGAGCCATGTCATCTAAAGTTTCTAACCAGTGATCGTGGTTATTATGTGGACCTCAACCATTTAGTCTGCATCTACCAACATGGCTCAGACCAACACCCAGTGGCTTCATGGACTGACGCCATGTTTTGGTTTAACCTCCCCTAACTCTGCCAACGTACTCTTATAGCATCAGGCATCGCTTGCTGAAATAAGCAATGATTAGGCATAGGCAACACATGTTTGGGGTGCGTTTCTCCCCCTTTACTATCGTAACCAATAGTTGGAGACTAAGTAACATGGATCAGAATCGATCATAATGACGTTGGTGTATACACTGTTTGTCTTCCCTTACAAAATGAGTTTAAATTACTTTATACCTTTCTACGAACTAATTCTTTCTCCCTGTATTATATTCTTTTATGCAATCGTGGATGTGGACTGCTGAGGAGTCCCATACTGGAATGAAGCGGCCGTCCAGTGCTTCCAGGTTTTCGACTCATGAATTCATCTAATATATCAGTACAATCTCCACAAAACCACCTTTCTGATAATAATCATCATTTGTTCACTAGTGACTGGCTTCAAGTGGTAATTCCTAGAGTTCTTGTGAGAAGTCGTTACCATTAGAGTTCAGCCGTGTCTGTTGTGACGCAGTGACTCGCGGAAGATAAATAATTTTGTTGAATATAAGAAAGGAGCTCATAATACAAATATTTCTACGATTCATATTTTTTTAGTTAAGTTGGATACTAGCTAACATTGCGTCCTGTCTGGGACTCATCATTTAGATGTACCTGCATCTTAATGTTGGTGTTCACATCCGTGCTCGAAAACAGTGCCTTTAGCTTCAAAAGGCCAACGCGTTATCCGTTGAGCTACTGAGCCTAAATAGTCACTCATTTTTGCAACGGAAATCAATTGAATGTTTATACCTTCCCGTTGATACTAACTACTGAAATTGATCAGTCACTTTTGGTATATGTACATTCTGAGCGGTCTGCTTCGATATTATTTCGGATCCACCTATCCCAAAGGTGACTGATCAATTTTAGTTCTTAACATTTGCGTTAAATGTACGAACTAAATTCTTATTTTTGCCATAAATCTTAAATGTATACCTCCAACAATAAGTTAACATGATTGTTCATCGTATTTCTTTCGCACATATGTTTAATATAATTATGGGTGTTTATTTTCAATGATGATGTCTTGTCCTTCCTTAATTTATTGTATTGATCCGTAAGGCTTTGTTTTTAGTATCGTGATAAACCCGAACATACATTCAATACAATGCTGGTAACAATAATCATCAGGTTATTCATTTCTGTTTATCGATGCGTTTTCACATGACCCATTCAATGAACAAAATGGTTATTTATTTATTTACTTATACTTAACTGTTTATATCGTCGCAATTATATAGTTCATTTTCTCTCTGTAGTGAATGTTTCATATATATATATATATATATATATATATATATATATATATATATATATATATATACCTTATGTTTCATTCGGACCATTGTTCGGATAGATAACTAGAATATAATTATGCACTATAGGTTCAATCTGTTTTTATTCTCCTGATGTATAAACCCTCGTTATTCACGAAATTATGCTCTGGGCAATTGAGGTAATCCGCAACGTTTTCAATTCCCAGCGGACGTGTTGTATCCAGCACTTTCGGTCAATTTCCTGTTCATTTAGTCAGTGCATCCTACATATTAGAGAGTAAATTTCCCTGAAAATTTCATATCAAGTGTTTGTGATTATCCCCAACTGTTTGTTATGGAAATGTCAATGAAATACAGCCTAACTTGTCGAATGCAAAACCCAAACACAGTCGAATTTTGGGCCTCAATTGAAATCTGTGGTGAAAATCACACTTACCGAATAAGCAGGATGTAATGCATTCATTAAACATAGTAAAGGTCGTAAATAACATTTGTTACAACGGGGGGGGATTTTTAATTATTAATCAAACTAAAACATTACACTTATCGTGTGCCAAATACCAGATAAAATCACAGGTCAATTATAAGCCTTTATATTAATGTGTCCTGGTACACATAGGTATCATTATATCTCACATCAACAAACTGAGAGCAAAAAACTCTGTGTATTACTACTTTGTAAACCTTACCTTCCGTGAAATGTTTATGATCACTAATAACTCATTGCTGCTACTAATTTATGACTGTTTAGTTTCTCAGTTCTTATAAATTCTGCCGGTTGAGATCTGTGATTCGAATGTTACAATAGTTAAATGCTAAAACTGATGTGGATAGCCATTCAGAAGTAGCCTAACGAAAAGGTCAATCGATGGCAATCAGAAGTGACCTAAAGGTCAAGTGCACTTCGTTGGCTGTGAAATGGATCAGTTTCTTAAGGGTTAGAGTGGCATATATATGAATGAGTACTTGTATGTTCTATTGGGCAGCTCAATATACTTTCTCGATCACCCCTGTGTTTGCGCTCATATAGTCATTTGGGGGGAGGATCAGCACATAGCATACCGTGTATCGGTATCAGATTTCGGACAGCGCCTGTCACACCAAAATCGGTCAATCTACACTGTCTGTCAAATAAACACGCTAACTAATTTCACAAAGTTCAGAGTAACGTTTAAATCACATCACTTTTTATCTTAAAATATTTATTCTATTCTGACCGTTATTTAAAACATCTGTAATGAGTCTTTAACAGTTACTCTCCTCGGTCTCTTATTTATTGGATTTTTTCTGTCTTCCTCACTTTCACCGCGATCATCGCCATCTAATGGTGATGGATTCTCATGGGACCAAGAGTAATAAATACAGAAAAATAGAAGTGGAAGTATTTGTAAAACACTGATTCAGGGTTCTAAAGAAAAGGTTAATAAAATGTAACAGTCATTTTCCATCGCTTAATAGCTAAGTTAAAACGAGTTGTAAAGGTCTTACAGACTCAAGATGGTGGACGCTTAATTGCAACCTTAGTAACTCAATTCTTTCATGAATTGAACAAATCTTCTGATCGACTGGTGTTAGACATATGAGGTGGTTCTCGACTGCCCACAACGTGGTCGGATACTTCTACCTATGAGATGTAAAAAAAAATGTTTGGATTAGCGGTAGTCATGAAGACCTGTTTATATGAACGCAGGGCTATGAGCATAACTGTTTCGGGCCAGTCATACACCATCTTTTTGTGTGTTGACTCAGTACTGCTTAGTACTATTCAAACGGTGACGGGAATTCATAGAGCAAGGTGAAATAACCTATTTTCAAATTTGCTTTTCGGTAACCATTGCTTTTCATATTGGGAAGGTAGTATCCCGACAGATTCTGGTTGTCTAAGAGAAGCACCTTACTGCATCCAAACTCCTATGCAGTTAGAAGTACGAATTCGCCCGCGAACCTCGAGTTTAATGGTTCTAATCTGACCCATCTCTAGCCGCTCTACTTGTTATAGTCAGGTCTAAGAAACGAGTTTGGCCACCCAGGCAGTATCACAGCCCTCACACATATCAAATGAGATCTGTGTGGCGCATATGTATTTGGTGCCTCCTTGTACCAATATCTATGTGTTAAAATAAATAAAATAAAATAAATAAGAAACGAATGTTCCAACCAATAAAACTTGGTTGAGTTATTACGATGTTCAGGTCCATGTCTTGGTAGCAGATGTTCATCGGTCAACAAATATTTTGTTTATTTAAAAGTAACAATCAACTTTCTAATTCATCAATATCAAGTATGTAGAAAAAAATAAAGCAAACAAATGATCCAAGAGTCAAACTATGTCAGTCAAAAAATGCCAGTTACATTTTTTTATGATTGTCGTCCTTGTTGTAGATACGATTATGAAAATTGTGAATCAAGTCAAGGTGATGAAATTATAAATGAATTAAAGAAACTAACTGATAATAATAGAATATCAGGTCATGTGTATACCACTGTCAGTGGACGACAGTTCGTTTGTGATTTTTGTGATAATTTTTCATATGTGGATCCAGTTGATGGAAGTCACACTACAAACCAAGTATGTGAAATTATATATTAACATAAACATAATCTTATGATTTCTAATTCAATTTTTATATCATTGATGTTCTAACGTCGACATCAGATCAGATTCAGTAAAGGTAATTGCCTGTAACGAAGTGATTGAGCGAGAAGTGTCCTTGCTCTTAAATCGTTTGATTTTTGGCAAATAAATTGCATTTTCGATCTTTGAAATTCCCAACAATACAAATCTGTGACCTCCACTTCAAGTTTTGCAAAGAGTATAATTCTATCCATTTCCTAAGTAGTGGCATAATTATTAAATCAGTCAGTGAGCTTCCAACCATTATTAGGTTGAGCGTGTTCAAATACTACTATATGTATAAATTGTTTAGTGAGTTAGACAGTTGGATGACATCTTTGTATGTATCAGATAATAATGGATGTACGTACAACGTATATATACATCCTTTTTGTATACAAGGTAGGGACAGAGGGGAAATATGAATTTGTTTAATGTTTTTTTTTGAGTTCTCAAATAATTATAATTCCTAATATATATGATCTGTTCACGTATGTACATCGACACCATCATCAAAATATTAGACGTGAATAAAATGTTAAATGATTTCGGTAGCATTTTGCATTCATTGAGTTAAATATTGCTCAGTTGGATAGAATAAGAAATTTTCATGAATTTTCTAAACGTTAACATGACGACACTAATCGTAAATGCAAATCGCCTTTGCCCCCTGAATGCCCTGGTACGGCCGAGAGTGGGGAGAGTCCGCTCTCCCTCTCGAAATACTCTCACACGGCCACGCGTATACAGCCTCTGTCAGGGAAGTCCTACTCATTGCCTTCTCGTGGCGGGGGTGTTGTCTACGAAAATGAGAGGACGAAAAGCGAATGTCCGGCGCTTTAACCGGATTCCAAATCAATGGTGCACATGGGCTCCAGTATCCTGCGGGAACGAATGGCGTATGAACCAATCGTTGGTCACCGGCTACCATGGGACTGCATCTCCTTACGATGCTCCACTGCCTTGTGGGTTAGACCTTTAGGTCAAAGGCTCGGGGAGTGGCCCCCTAAGATAACCACCTGCTTCGGTTTGGGCACCCGGGCAGTATCACAGCCCACACACAAATTGATGAACTCTTTATGCCTACGGAAATTACCTTTCTTGCTTTGAAAAACAAACAATTGATTCAGATTATTATCATTACAATTATTGTCATTATTAATACTGTTATTATTATTACTAGTATTATTGTCATTATTGTTATTATTATCATTATTATTATTATTTTCCACATTACTCACCCTCTTTTATACTTATACAGCGGCTCGTCTTTGGCGGAAATCCGACTGTATCTATACGTTCTCGAGTCACTGTCCGGTTGAAAATTGTATGTTACCACCGAATACGAGGACTGAAGCAGATTTTCTGAAACCACGTGCACCATTCAAACTGGCTGCCTTCAACGTTCGCACATTTATGCAGGTCGGACAACAGATAGGGCTGGCTATGTCTTTGGAAAGTCTTAATATCGACGTGTGTTGTCTATCCGAGACCCGTATTCAAGACTCTGGCGAAGTACTACAAATTCGATCTCCATCTGTCGCTTCGAAAAGCTTGTTTTACGTGCGCTTATCCGGGGACCCTGTGGCATCTTCGTCTGGTCTTGCTGGCGTTGGTGTCGCACTAAGCGCTAGAGCTGAGGCAGCACTAGTCGATTGGATCCCCATTAACAGTCGGTTATGTGCTGTTAGATTAGAAAGTTCCATCAAAGTGAGAAGAAATCGGCGTGAGAAACGATGTCTTTTCGTCATCTCCGCCTATGCCCCGACAGATTGCAGCCCGGATGCAATCAAGGATGAGTTTTACCACCAGTTATCAGTTCTTCTCCAGAAAGTGCGTTCGACAGATATTGTAGTACTAGCCGGAGACTTGAATGCTCAGGTCGGGCGTCTAGGCACAGAAGAGAGTCGTTTAGGTGGCCGATGGGGACTCGTTGGTCGCAGGTCAGATAACGGGGACCGTCTACTGCAACTTTGCACAGACCACAACCTGTTTCTGGCTAGCACTAACTTTCGGCACAGTCATCGCCGATGTGCCACCTGGCGTCCTCCCTCTGCATCTCAAGCCTGGACTCAGATTGATCACATCGCGATCAGCTACCGCTGGCGTGGTTGTGTAAAAGACTGCCGCTCCTTTTGGAGTACCTATCTGGACTCTGACCATGCCTTGGTCTGCGCCAATCTTACCTTACTTTTCAGTGGACAACGAAGTGAACGCCATCAACGGATTGATGTTAGCAAGCTGGTTGCAACTTCTGTTGCAAGTAAGTATCGAACCGAGCTAGCCTCTAGGCTAGCTACCACTCCACCGAAAAGTATAGATGAGCATTGGTTGCAATTGCATGACGCCATGAAAATGGCGGGAACAGTCAGTTGTGGGTTTGCGAAACGTCCCGCCTTTAAGCACTGGGTTTCTTCTGGTTCCTTACAACTCATTGAAGCCCGTCGGTCTACTCCGGGTGACCGTGAGTTTGACCATAAACGAAGGATGTTACGTAAGGAGATTGGGCAAAGCTTGCGTAAGGACCGAGAAGCCTGGTGGTCGATGCGTGCTAATGAGCTGGAAGCAGCAGCTGCATCTGGTAACTACCGGAAGCTCTTCCAGCTCATCCGAGCCACTGGCAGCAAGAAGTCTGGTGTGAGTGAAACAATCTGCGAGGATGATGGGATGCCAATCACTAACATCCATCGACGTCTTGGACGATGGGCAGAATTTTTCGAAGGGCAGTTCAACTGGCCTGCTGCTCCGGCAACATCGGTCAGACTGTCCTGCCCTCCATGGCCGGTGACGACTGATCCACCAAATGAGGAGGAAGTCCGCAAGGAACTCCAACTCTTGAAGCGTTACAAATCACCTGGCCCAGATGACTTACCTCCGGCTCTTTTTAAAGATGGTGGTGACTTTTTGACTAAGGAATTGACGACGTTGTTTACAAAGGTTTGGGAACTAGAGTGTGTACCAACGTCATGGAATGAGTCGATAGTTGTCCCTATCTTTAAAAAGGGTTCACGTCGTTCTTGTAACAACTATCGGGGGATAAGTTTACTTCCGATTGCGTCCAAGCTATTGGCTTCCGTCATTCTTCGTAGGTTGTTCAAAACCCGAGAAAGATTGACTCGCGAGGAGCAGGCTGGGTTTCGTTCTGGTCGAGGATGTATTGATCATATCTTCACCCTCCGCCAAATGTTAGAACACCGCCATACTTTTCAAAGGCCAACAATCGTAGTGTTTCTTGACATCAGGGCTGCCTTCGATTCGTTGGACAGGACTGTTCTCTGGGATTGTCTATTGAAGAAGGGTGTGCCTGAGAAGTTTATTAACATCCTGAAAGCCCTGTATAAAAACACCTCAGGCAGAGTGAGGGCATACAACCACCTCTCTCCATTGTTCCATTCGAGCAGTGGGGTTAGGCAGGGTTGCCCAATCTCACCATTCCTCTTCAACTTTGCCATCGATGACATTCTGGAAACAGCTCTGATGAATGTAAGTAATGGTGGTGTGGATCTGTTGCCTGGAGAAAGACTTCTCGACCTTGAGTATGCGGACGATATTGTCTTACTGTGCGATAATGCCCAAGGCATGCAATCCGCACTTAATCAGTTGGCAATCAGTGTCCGTAGGTATGGTATGTGCTTTGCACCTTCGAAGTGCAAAGTACTTCTACAAGACTGGCAGGATTCTAATCCTGTACTCACCCTGGACGGTGAGCAGATAGACGTAGTTGAGAAGTTCGTGTATCTGGGTAGCTGCATAAGTGCTGGTGGGGGTGTGAGTGATGAGATCAATGCACGAATAGTGAAAGCCAGAGCGGCTTATGCCAATCTGGGCCACCTTTGGCGCCTTCGTGATGTTAGTCTGGCTGTAAAAGGTCGGATCTACAACGCGTCGGTGAGAGCAGTTTTGCTCTATGCTTGTGAAACCTGGCCTCTCCGAGTTGAGGACGTTAGACGACTCTCTGTGTTCGATCATCGCTGTCTCCGAAGGATTGCTGACATTCAGTGGCAACACCATGTCAGTAATGCAGAGGTTCGGCATCGTGTGTTCGGGCACAGAGATGATAACTCAATTGGTGTCACCATCTTGAAACACCGACTTCGGTGGCTTGGACATGTTCTCCGAATGTCGTCCCAGAGAATTCCACGTCGTGCATTATTTGCCGACTCTGGGACTGGTTGGAAGAGGCGGAGAGGTGGTCAGTGCATGACATGGTGTCGTGGCATGAAAGAAAGCTGCAAAGGACTGGCTTGTGTTGGTCCTTCACGACTCCCTGGTTGGGGTCCGAGAGATGGTGCTACACAGTGGCTAGAGACGTTATCAGATATGGCTCAGAATAGAAGCCAGTGGCGATCCTGCTGTAACCTTCTTTTACTTTCTTCATAAAAAGTGGTTGTGTCTCCTTTACCTGAAAGATTTCTTCTGATTGTACCTTTTCGTTCCGTCGTTACTACCACACTACCTTACTCCAATCTCTTCGTCATTGTTCTCTTTTTCTTTTGCGTTCCCTAGTTTTTTTTTTCTTTCTATTTCTCTTCGAATTTTCATTGTTTTGTGTGGCGCATATATATTGGCGCTCTCTTGTACCAATATTTATGTGTTCAAATAAATAAATAAATAATAAATAAATGCAATCTCTTGTATATTGATTTGTACACACACTTGATCATTAATTAGAAAGAAGTCATATGTACGAAATTGACATAATTACATGGTACATTTCATGCTGAACATACTTCACATTAATTCAATACAGAGAATATAATATCTTGAATAATCATCGTCATAATTCTTCTAAATGAAGACCTTCGAATTCCCAGGGCAAAGTTTAAGTGGTTTTAATTATTTTTTCTGGTTAGCGTTTTTTTAGCGAGTTAGTTTTCTACGGGATAGAGTCGCTAACCACATACCCAACCCTCCTTTACCCGGGCTTGGGACCGGCAGCAGCCCCAGAGGGGGATCCAGGCGCAGTTGAATAATCACACTGAAATTAAAACAAATATTACAATGAGTAATTACCACATTGAATTAGAAATGGAAGTAATGTTGAATGAGATTCACAATTACTAAACAACGTAGTTTTGTCTTTTCGTCCCATCATACCACTCCTCCTTTTTAATTGAATACGTAGGAGTTAGTTTACCGTGAAGGATCCATTCGAAGGGTCGATATTCTCCGTTAGGATCTCGGCTGATCGTGTTCCAGTTTGTTATAACTCTCTCTTACGGTTATAACCCAGCTGTTCCTATTGCTTAGTATTCTCGGACACCGATCCACTCGACGAGTCCTCAAATCAGAACACGGTTGAACAGGAATGGGAGTGCAGTAGCGAAAACGTTAGTATATTTATAGTTTTTCACATGAGAAGATTTCTAGTGTTCACTAAGTCTTGACTAACACTGATTGGATAAGATTAAGCCAATCAGCGTGCGCCAACACAGTTGAGTTTTGCAGCTTTATTTGAGAAAACTGACAGCCTTCTGACGTCTATGCTCTGCCCATTTGTTCACTGCATATATGATTCTCCCCTCCCACGGAACAATATTTGATCTGTTATATGGCAAGCCCATCAGAAGTAGCCTGATTGATTGCAATCAAAAGTGACCTGAATGGATCAATTTCTTCTATTGGGTAGCTCGATATACTTTCTCGCTCACCCCTGTGTTTGCGCTCATATAGTCATTTGGGGGGGGGGATCAGCACATAGCATACCGTGTATCGGTATCAGATTTCGGACAGCGCCTGTCACACCAAAATCGGTCAATCTACACTGTCTGTCAAATAAACACGCTAACTAATTTCACAAAGTTCAGAGTAACGTTTAAATCACATCACTTTTTATCTTAAAATATTTATTCTATTCTGACCGTTATTTAAAACATCTGTATTATTATTATTATTATTATTATTAATGGCTTTTTTCAATATTATTTGACTTCACATTCCTTGTTTGACCTGAGATCTTCAGGCATCATGATACGATGGAGAAACCAAGTTGCTATTGTGTAATTTGTATTTTCCACTTTAGTGAATTTGAGAAATATGGTGGGATCCTCACTCAGTGTTATCTGTGAATTGCTGATGCCTCGTCACCGAACTTCATGGACACGCCACGAGTTACTATCACTACTCACTGTTAAACTTTTGTATTATACTTCTATATGTTAATCACTTCTAGTGTTTGGACGATTATCAGTAATATTCACTTCAGTGTTCCTGTGCGACTTCACAGCTTAACTTAAGCATCTTTCAGTCTTCTTATTTAAATGACTAAACAGTATCTCATGCTCCTCACAGTGAGATTTAGTCTTAACAAACAAATATCCGTTGCATTATACCATCCTATTGTCAGCATTGCTTTATGTGACTTTCTTAAACTCTGTACATTAATGACTGAAATTAGTGTATGTTTTTGCATTCATATCATTTTTTACTCGTAAATTAAATGTCTTAATTGCATATAATTCTGCCTTAAAACCTTTTAGTCATCAACTCATCGGAATTAAATCACTATTTGAATTGGTCATTGTTACTAGATTCAAAGGTTTATCTACTTGATTTTCATCTTAGAATCAGTTAACTGTACCATTAGCACTAGGTAATTGCTATGTCTTAATTGATTACGAGTTCACCTAGTCTGAGAACGGAACAAAGACTCTGTGACCAAAGACCAATACGCTAGCTATTCTGATACGTCCAAGCCCCGCTAACTAGAGAAAGAAGTCCAAGTTCGGAAAAGGGAAATGTATTCCGCAAGCAGCTAGAAGCACGAACAATAACAACAAGAATAAATCAAGCGTATGTATATATACAGCATAAAAATGTCCTTAAGAAGCGTTACAATATAGCATACTAAAAAGATACAACGAACCAATAGCGTTTAAGATCCTCCCAAGTGGGAAATACGACATAAAGACAAAAGTGAGCGCTTTTGGCTCGAAGACGAGAAATTCAAATTTTTAAAATAGAATTACAAAAATAAGTTATTTACTAAGTGAATTCTGGGGATCTAACATCCCAAAAAGTAATGATACTAGTAATGGTATACGGTTGTAGTGAACAAAAACTTAGGTGGGGAAAACCAATTTATTTGTTAATACAAAATTACAGAATGTCTTCGTAATGTACGAAAACCACACATTAAATACTCCATTCGCTCACCTTCCACCAATTATCTCTTACAAACCTCATCGTTCCTTCATTCCTATTGTTATTACAATTACTCTCTGTTCACATTTCTGTTCCATTCAATTCTATATTCCTAACCTTTTCATGCCAGGCATCTCACTTCTGATTGGTGTTACATACTATTTATGTCGACAGACATAAGTAACATACTAAAGTTCAGAATTATTCAATACTTGTTCAAAATTACGTGTGATTAGTCCGTCACTTGTATAACTATAATTATGTGATTAACCCATTCATCTGGTACTTGAGTATCACTCATTACTCTAAGTTGGAATGATATATTATACTATTTAGTTGCCTGAACTGAATTAGGTGCGCAGTGTTCGAACTTAGGACTTATTGGCTGGAGGTCAAGCGCCTTAACCACTTATCATTCGTTCTGTTCAAGTAATGCTTATGTGCATTTTTTTTCCATATTAATCCTTGTTTCCGTATTCTCACTTTAACAAACATGATCTCTCATATGTATGTTGTATGAATTTCATGGTCTTATTGTCATTTCCTCTTTTTATTTTTGAAAAAGGGTTTTCGCTTAATTTTTAATGATGGAACACGCTTTGTGTATCGTTTAAGTGGTACAGGCAGTAGTGGTGCAACACTTCGAGTGTATGTTGACACTTATGAATCAGATCCGGCTAAACATACAATTGCTTCACAGGTCAGTCAGTTTTTTCAGAGAGATTTACAAGTGTTTTCATAATGGTGCACAACATTGAGTGTGTATCAAAGTGTTTGTGGTATTTTACACACTACCGCTATGTATAATTTTATGGTTTACCATCACGGACTGATTTTGTTCCGATAACTATTAGAAACCGAGAATCAGTGGACAGTAATTTAGTCCTAACATAGGACTCAGTGTCGTTGCACACTCATGACCCCACCGATGAGCTTCCATTCGTTAAGCCGTATTTAAAAAAAGCCTCGATCGTTCATAAGTAGAATGTACCATACACCAATCAGTAACATGATATTTTACCAAATTAGACAGAATCATTGAGATCGGTAGACATTTATATGTGAAAAACTCAATTATGTAAATTAATAATGTTGCAATTTATATTATTATTATTATTATTATTATTATTATTATTATTATTATTATTATTATTATTATTATTATTATTATTATTATTATTATTATTATTATTACTAATACTAGTTATAATACGTGTGATTACATAGAATAAAGTCAACGAGAATAATATATGGGATAAAAATAAACCATTTAATAAGTGAAATTGTGTTGTGATGTTTATTTTCACTAATGTTACTGGATGAGATTCACCGTTCTCTTCTTCTGTATGCTAGCTAAGATCAGGCTGAAAACTTTGGCCGTAATGGCCTCTGCATATTGAATGAAGTATACTCATTATTTTTTGTTTCTTATGTAGGTTGAAGGGCTTTCTCTCTGATATTCATTATTGCGCTTTGTATAGATGTAACATTCCATCTTTTAATATACTATAGTGAACGAGAGCACAAGTGGGGGCAATCGAATACGTTTGAACTCCAAATTGCAGAATCCCTTAGTAAAATCTGAGAATCATACAGTAAATACTTAATTTGCAAAGTGTCTCAAACCTGACTGTTCCTTCGCAAGTGTCAATCAATCGTCTCAGACTTCAATGTTCCTTCAATTCCATACTAATTGCTTTCTGTTCCCGTTCTTTCCTTCTCGACACATTGCTTCCAGACATTCTATTCCTGACTAGCGGTTTATACTACTTATATCGACATAAGTAGCACATACCACATACTAATGAGCTACTCAGACACATCTAAATTACTATCCTATGTACGAACAGTTGAAAAGGATCAAACTTATGTACATAGTTGACAATTACAAGATGTCTTAGTCGTGTCTTATGTACATTCCTCTGCCAAGAAATAGGTTGATGACTGATACTCCCTAAACAATCGCAACCATATTTTTTACAAGTCATTCTAAAGTAGAACTGATTCTTTAGTAAGCTTTGCTTTCCATCCTTTACTTGAATTACATCCTGGTATTCATAATACGTATTCTATATCCTATTATGAGTCAGGGCGCTGCAGCGAACTGACAAGTGCTAATCCTACGTATAACTATCTTTTGTTACATTTAACAGATGGCATAATGAAGGATACTTGTATTACATAAGCAATACTACATAATCAATATAAACTCGAGAATATAGTAATAGTTGTTGACTTGTCAATCACCCAAATGTGTATTTCAGTAGGTGAATATTTCACCATCATGGTGATGATTAATGGTGGATTTAACTGTTTACAATCAAGTTGATACAAAGTTTTATTCATCATAGGTTGATCTCCGTTAGTATATAGTGCTGTACAGTTATTTCGTTCTAGTACGGAACTCTCCTTGCAATCGAACCCCAGTACATTCAGTTTTTGCAACAAACGCTTAACCGTTAAAACCCCCACTAGGTCGGTGCCCAATGGTACGATTTCGACTTCAATCCATTTACAATACCACGTTATCGATGGTGGTAGTGGTCTTTCTTGACTTAAAAGCACCATTTGACTGTATAAATGGCAAGATTCTGTAGCACTGTTTGTCATTGAAAGGTGTACCTCAAAAGTACATTAACCTTGTGAAGGCTGCTTACTCGTACAGTACCAGTCGAGTCAGAGCTAATGGCGAACTGTCATCTGATTTTGCAACCTCAAGTGCTCGCATCTGCTGGGATCAACGGGTAAGTAATAGTGAGGTTAGACGCAGAATATTAGAGAATGATGGTAAATCAGTTGATGAGGTTGTGAATCTTCATCGACTGAGATGGTTGGGCCACATGTTACGTATGCCTGAACACCGATTACTACGACGTGCAATGCTAACCGGTGTTCGGGATGGTTGGAAGAAAGTTAGGGGTGGCCAAACCAAAACGTGGCATCAGTGCTTGAAGTCACTAACTTCTAGTCTGAGCCATGTTGGTAGATGCAGACTACTTGGTTGGGGTCAGCGTGACTATCGTAACCAATTGTTGGATACTCTGGATGACATGGCTCAACTAAACGATATTATTATTGTTCTGGATACTCTGACTCCAAATGTTAGCGTTTACCTGTTGGTTTTTTATGCATTTTTTGGAAGTATTGTTTTTTGTTGTGTGTAATCATAATAATAGTGATAAGATGTAATCCATCCTGCATTTAACTTTTTTTAATCCAGGAATATCTGAAACCGCATATTGAATTAGCATTGGAATTATGCGGTGTAACTAAAATCACTGGTCGAATAGTTCCAAATGTCATCACATAAAACGTTTTATCCTACAAAGCTGTTGATTTTCTACCTGTGCTGCACAACCCATTCATGGTGATTAATTAAACGTAACACTGATGACTGTCATTCGTAGTCTTTTAGACATAGAATCGTATGCGATCATGGTAATTATACGAACCTTGCCCTCCTCCAATCAGCATTGATTCTTCTTATTATTACTATTATAAATTCTCCCGTATATTAATATTGTTCCCGTCGGTTAATGATTACTACATCTATCTTGTTCAATCATTTAAATAAAACATCACTATCCCACTCCGATGAACCTGTCTCTGCCGCTGTCATTCTTTTAGTAATATTTAGATGATAAGATCATAATGCATTTGCTCATCGTTTAAATCTTTCGCTATGTCTATCCCCTCTGATTTAACATGTGTTTAAAAGTGATTTTCCCAACAGTTTATGCTGAATCATCTGTCTATGTTTTTTTTCAAGCAAATGAATTTTTTCAGTAGCTTCTTTTTAGGTTTCCTCTCTCATTATCTAGTCTTGTTTTTATTTTAAAAATAGTGTATTTTTCGTGCCTTTAACACTTAATTTCATTTTTTTAGTAGATAATTTTTCAAAAAAGTAATTACACTCCCGCCTACTGATTAATATTACGCGGTGAGACGAACAATCTTTTGGTTAATAATTCAGTGGTGCTTTTCGTAGACATTATTATTTTAGTAATAGACAATCGGTGGAAAGCACTGTTTCATATATGTTTCACGCTAGTCGATACTCAACAACATAGTTTATTTGTAATTTTTTGTGGAAACGTTGGTGCTTTTTCCATGTATTTTGATGCTATATCATTCAATACTGAAGACGTCATCAATGAGCTATATGGGACGCCAGGATCGACCTCCTGTAAGTCCAGGATATTTGTGCTAAGTTATCATGCTTCGTGTTTCTTAGACATGATTTCTGACCGAATTCTACTGAACAGTACAGGTGTACGATTTTTATTGAAAAATCGGATCTCCCTATATAGATGAAATTTGCAAAGTACAGGTTTACATGATAACCTTAGATTCCTATTTAAAGGATGAAGGCTAGAAATACTACTATTGCCACAGACCAATTATCTAAACCAAACTAGATCTCATCATCATCAAAACTGAAATTCAGTCTATGAAAACAGAGACTCTTCATTTTTGAAACATCATTCTAGAACAAATCAATCATGAGCTTTTTTAAAAACCTGTCGTCTAAAGTTTTCGCTCAAGTAAAAAGCCTTTTCATAGTGAAAGAAGTTGATGTATAGTGACGAATTCCATTCAATCGATTGTTGAACGACGATCCGTAGTGTCGCAACCTGGTCTGTGCATGATCGATTCTTACGGAACCCAGCTTGTTGATCTCGAAGTTAGACGTCTACTGTATCTTCCACTCGGTTCAACAACACTCTGTCGAAAACTTTTCCTGGTACCGATAGTAGTGTGAAGCCTCTCTGTTTCTAACACTTGCTGAGATCCGCTTTCTTTGGTATCTCGATGAGATTTCCTTCTTTTCAGTCTGTCGTCACTTGTTCTTCCTCCCAAATCTTTATGAATAGAATGCGGAGCATGTTTGCAGTTACCTCTATGTCTGACTTCGATGCTTCAGGTGGTATATTTTCAGAGCGTGCTGTTTTCCCACTCTTGATTTGTCTGATGGCCATGTTGATTTCCTCGACCGTTGTGGAATGACATCTATGGGAAGGTCTGTGTGTTTTGCCTCGATGTCTGGTGAGTTCAGTGAGACTGATCTTTTCACGAGTTCTTCAAAGTGTTCTACCCATCTGTTCCTCTGTTCCTGAATCTCAGTGATTGGCATGCCTTCTTTGTCCTTGACCGGTCTCTCTGCTTTACCATATTTCCCTGCCAGTTTCTTCGTTGCATCATATGGTTGTCTCATATTTCCTTCTCTTGCAGCTTTTCCCCTCTGTCATTGCTAAGTCTTGCACATATTTCCATTCGTCGGCTCTAATGTCCTTCTTCACTTGCTTGTTTACTTTTGTGTATTCGGTCCGTGCCTTGACTCTTTCTGTTCTTGTTCGGCTGTTGTTATTTGCTGTCTTCTTGTTCTTCCTTTCTTGAATCCTGTTCAAGGGTTCAATAGAGATTCATTCCTTATGATGATGCATTTTGCGGTCCAGCACCTCCTGACACGTTGAAGTTAGTTATTCCTTGTTTTTTCCCCAGTTCTTCTCCATAGTAGTTTCTTCCAGTAGATCCTGTAAGGCTTGGTAGCTGTTGTTAAGAGTTATCCTGAATTCGTTGAGTTTGTCAGTATATCGAAGAAAGACTGTACTGAACCCTTGTAATGCTGTTTCCCCAGCTGTCCATTGCTTCTTTAGCTTCAGTTTTATTGTAGCAGCCACGACTAGGTGGTGATCTAAAGCTATGCCAGCTCCTCTCCTGGTTCTCACGTTTCCCATTGACCTTCTGAAATTTTTATTGATGCAAAGATGATCGACCTGATTCTCTGTAGTGTGATCCGGTGAGAGCCATGTAGCTTTGCATTTGTGGGGGAATGTTGTGCCGCCTATAACCTCTTTGTTGGATGCACATAAATTTGCAAATATGTCACCATTCTCGTTCCTTTCTCGCAGTCCATGTCGCCTCATAAGACTGATCGTCTTCATTGTTATCATTGGTGGGTGGATAACACTAGATAGTGTTGATTGTGATTCCCTTCTTCTTTATTTTGAAAGATGCTTTGATGATCCCGGATCCATCAGACTCCCACCTTTTAAACGCTTTTCGTGCTTCTTTGGAGAGCATCAGTTCAACTCACTGCGTGTGCGAAGTACTTACTTCTTCATGACCAGAGCACAACAGCATCTCTCCTGAATCCAATTTTTTTTGTTCAGTTTGGGTCCAATGGGTTTCGCTGATTCCGAGCACCGTTGAGTTGTATCTCCTGATTTCCGTAGCCATTTGATTAATCCTCCCGGGAACTACAGCAACCCTAGAAGAGCTACAGGTGTAGTTGCATACAAAAGTTAGACACCTAAATTGTTCCTCTGGAAATAAGCTCAATTTAAAAGTTTTGCATTGGTTACTAACAAATGTCAGTCAGTCAGTCAGTCAGTCAGGTACAACGTAGGACCAGGAACATATATGCATCGGTCCAAGTTGCCATACATCAATAACTCAACAAGATGGACACCGGATTCATATAAGTAGTTAATTCAGAGGTGGTAATCTATAAAAGAAAGATATGAAGCGATTTTGTTCTCTTTTAGTTTAAGGGAAGACAGACAGTGTATACACCGATGTCATTGTGGTCGATTCTGAGCCATGTCACCAAGAGTCTCCAACCATTGGTTACGATAGTCACGCTGACCCCAACCAAGTAGTCTGCATCTACCAACATGGCTCAGACTAGAAGTTAGTGACTTCAAGCACTGATGCCACGTTTTGGTTTGGCCACCCCTAACTTTCTTCCAACCATCCCGAACACCGGTTAGCATTGCACGTCGTAGTAATCGGTGTTCAGGCATACGTAACATGTGGCCCAACCATCTCAGTCGATGAAGATTCACAACCTCATCAACTGATTTACCATCATTCTCTAATATTCTGCGTCTAACCTCACTATTACTTATCCGGTGATCCCAGCAGATGCCAGCAATATTTCTAAGGTATCTGTGTTCAAATACTAGTAGCTTACGAGTGTCTTCTACTCTTAATGGCCATGTTTCACTGCCGTAAATTAAAACAGAACGGACTAACAAAGGTAGCATATGAAACAAATTCTTCTTCAGGTCTTTCATCAATTCTAAGAAAATTATATCGCAAGTTAAATAAAGAAGTTTGAGTAGTGAAAATCTCTGTTAATTTTTGCACATTAGGATCAAAAGAAAAATGTTGGGCTTTTTTGGCAAGATAAGATTTGAATATCTTTTATGTTCAGTTACTCCAAGTTTCTGAAGTAGATTTCTCACCTTCGAAGTGTTACCATGATGTGTAAAATCATTTTGAAAAATGTCTTGATATCTCTTGAACTATGATTGAAATGTGATAGCTGTGCCAGGATCAGAATGAAACTCGCTCAATGTATGGACTAGTGATTCGGTAGTTGACTCCCTTGATTTTAGCACCTTTGTTGAGTTTTCTTGAACTGACAACATTTGTATCATCATTTCGATCATTGTTGATTGTGATGCTTGAAATTTTTTTGTTACTGCTGCAGAATTGACTTAAGCTAATCTACTGAAATAGAAAATTTGAAATTTTTTTTCGCGCGGGTTTGATGAAAATAACGTATACAGAAACTGTTGTGATGAGTTGTGTCCGAAATCTGATACTGATAGGCGGTGTGCTATGCGCTGACCCCAAATGACTATTTGAGCGCGAACATAAGGCATAATACTCAAACGTGTGTTTTTATAACTAAAGAGCATTACTAAAATACCCATTGATTGTTTACTAAGGAAACTATATAACTTTGAAATGGTTACTTGTTGTTCTTATTGACATTCCTGAATACTAAAAACAATTCTAGAGCATATTTTGTGGGTTTTTTTTAAAGGAAAATCTAGATATTATATCTCAGCCGAATTTATCCTTCACATACATCATGTTTAGGTTAGTAATAAACAATCTACAGCTGAATAGCACTAAACATTCTATTTATTCTTATTTGAGACTAGTCAACTGTGTTCATACATGAGCATTCAGGTCTTTTAGTGACCACAGTACCTTTAGATAATTGAGTTGGAATTCAACGGACCAAATTTCTAACATAATCCGAGTTTTGAAAAGGAGTGCTTAATTTCTACTATAAAATCTCTGTTGTCACCATGTGGTGTCATAATTTCTGTAGATGAATATCCTTGAAATCGAATGGCTGTGTTTAAATTGTTTAATTTGTTTATTCTGGTTCGCATTTGTTTAGCAAGGTTGTTTTCTACCTGATTGTGTTGCTGATTACATTCCCATCCTTCCTCCTATATCTGGACTTAGGATCTGCTGTTTATACATTTTGAACCCAACAATATTACACTTGCTTCTCAAAGCAAAAGAAATAGACAGTATTTCAGTCGTACCTCTTTTGCATTTCAAAGAACGTACTTTGATACCTCAACTATCAGCTAAGTAATCCATTGTTTTTAGTTCTATATTCTATGTTTTAGGGAAACATAGTTCAGTAATTTTTTTACAAAGGATCTTTGATTTCCAAATTTATGACTTAATTGTTAAAATATTATCTAGTATGGACCAAGTAATTGGCCCAACCAATTCTTTATTGCTAGATTGACTTTTAGAAATGGATAATTGCCATTGTAATGTTTCTACCATTGATTATTTTCGCTTACGGATTCCTGAAATGTCATCGTGAGTCCGTGACCGGCGAAAGTCATACTTGTCACCATGAGTCCAATTTCACCAGTGGGAAATGGTAATAGTCTTGTAATATTGAAAATTGACAAGAGTTAAACATAAATAAAATAATATATTTTTAATATGCCAATGAGTAGAAAATTAGATTTTCTAACGTTTAGTGACTCAGTGTAAGCCAATTCTCCAGAAAATAAATAACCAGATCAAAATTAATCCTAGTTTAAATAATACAACGAAACGACGCAAGAATATTATGTGCGATCAATCAAAACACAGGTCTGAACAAGTTAATGTCATGTCATTTCGGTCTAGGTGATTTGTAATCGGCATGTATGTAAATTTGTATGTTTATGTGTGCAAGGTCAGGGATGAGAAAATGTGACCTTTGTGATGCGAAAGGATACAGTTTAATTTGTATATACGATAACAGTATGAAATGTAAATAATGTCAGATATGGTAGCTTGGATAGGTAGTCCAAGTCGGATGTATAGTTAGAGTTGAAAACGTTAACGCCAACTCAGTAATCTCCATGATAAGCACTCTATTCGAGTCCTGAAAGGTGTTGGGTTCATTTCCTGGTGTGGTCGTGGCCCCCAAATGCCCTGGTACGGCCGAGAGTTGGGAGAGTCCGCCCTCCCTCTCGAAATGCTCTCACATGGCCACGCCTATATAGCCTCTACCAGGGAAGTCCTACTCATTGCCTTCCCACACCTGGGGTGTTGTTTACGAAATTGAGAGGATGGAAAGCGAATGTCCGGCGCTTTAACCGGATTGGTGGACATGGAGAGTCCACCCAGAGGATTTGGAAAACCCTGATTCCAAACCAATGGTGCACATGGGCTCCAGTATTCTGAAGGAACAAACGGTTTGTGAACAAATTGTTGGTCACCGGCTACCATGGGACTGCATCTCCTTACGATGCTCCACTGCCTTGTGGATCAGACCTTCAGATCTAAGGCTCGGGATGTGGCTCCCTAAGAAAACCACCTACTTCGGTTTGGGCACCCGAGCAGTATCACAGCCCTCACACATATCAAATGTGATTTGTGTGGCGCATATGTATTTGGTGCTTCCTTGTACCAATATTTATATGTTGAATAAAATAAGTAAATAAATAAATTCCTATACTAGGCAAAAATAGCTATCCAATGTTTCCGGGTTTAAAATGGTCGTCTAACTGAAGTAACCACATAAGGTAAAATTATATAATTTGTTATTTAAATCATATCGATATATAGCACTTTAATCGGTTTTCATTTCGATTAAATACCGATGGATCACCTAGAAGTTTGCATGTAGAGCCCGGTAGCTTAATTATTTAAGCACTGTATCTTTGTCTCAGAATGATATCCTGTTTAATTTATATTTCTTGAGACGATGAGTATCATTGTTCTTCGTACAATAATATATGGTTCGATGTTTCGGTGATCGGAACACTTTACTGTTGACCATTGCAGGTTTCTTTGTGAAACTCTTCTCCATCTAATTCGATTTAAATAAATATGTATTATCAGTAGACTTCACATAAACTGTCCTGCTATATATACACGTATATTTATTCTTATTTTAAAAAGTTTCACCACTTTGTAAAATTCTTTTTTAAATAAATAAATAGATTCTCGTAATGTTTTGTTCTGATTTCTTTTTCTCTAAGCTGTGTGAATCACTGTTTTAATGTTATAGTATTTATTATCGCATAAAGAAATGTAAATGATATTGATTGGTGATAAATGAAATATGGCTATTTAGGCATTCAGGCTTTAGTACTATCAAACTGATACTCACCTACTAGAAATATATGTCTTAATTCCAATTTTACATGCATTTATTTAATGAATTACAGTATTATGGATTTTCTTTCTACCTTACTGGTGTATTCACGCAGAACTGTTAAACTTTTATTGTACCATCACCTTGATCTCAAATCACTGGTTTTCCTTTTGTTATAATCGTTCATTGGAATACAGTGGGTTTATGAACAAGGTAGACAACTTTCAACCATCAATTCATGTGTTTAAATAACGTCTCAGTTTGGTCAAACAGTCAGGGTATCAACTATGTTTGGGGCTGACGACTAGTCGCATGAATTCGAACTCGGTCATTGTGTAGTTGCTTTACTGTCCATAGAATAATTGTCTCATAGTTTAGTCAGTCAACTTCCAGTCGTTATTGTGTTACCGATTCGAATCCAGTCGGACTTCGGTTTGGACAGTCAAATTGTATCATACTATGCCTGATGCATAAAATATATGACTTCAAACTAGATGCATATGTGCATATTCAATCTCATTCACATTGGTTAGTTTTCCATAGTTATTTGACATAAAATAATTGTAATCATTTCAGCCTTTCTATAACTGACCATACAGTCATTTGACAAATTCGTAATGGTCTGTTTATCATATGAAAATATTAAATCCCAATAAAAGTATTGCACGATATCTTGAATTGACTGAAGTTAGACATTAACACCATTGGACCCACCTTTCAATAGTCTAGGGATTAGGGATTCGCGCACGAAGATTCGAATCCTAGGTTTGATTCCCGGTTGCGGACCATGTTGTGAGTGCATACTGCTGAGATGTCTCATTCTAGGATGAAATTTCTGTTTCGTGTTTTCAGGTTCTCAATGTTGATCTAGCTCAATTCAGTTCGTGATGTAAAATGAAAATTTTACAATCTCCAAAAACGTCTTATACTTAAATATAACAACATGAAGTTTCTGCCATTTGGATTTTATAAAATTCATAACTGTTTAGTAAACTAGCAGCTATCTGGACTCCGTAGCTCACTGAATAATGCCTTGGCATTTGAAGCAAAAGGTACTGGGATTGAGTCGTAATGTAAACATCCACATCATGATTCAGGCGCATCCAATTCACGATTCCTCAGTAAGACGAAACGACTATCTTTGACTCCACTGTTAGCTATAATCTATTTCTTCTATCTATAGAGGAAATGGATAAAATGTAAGGAGGGAGTAGCAGTGGCATTAAAATACAGTGGGATACTGACTATAATAATATATATTTCGAAAGTCTTCAGCTGTAGATTAACATCATTGCACGAATCCCCTTAACTCAGAACATCTACACATAGTGTTAGAAATAAGATCTTTGACTGATTCGTGAGATATTTGTAACCAGTAGAAAGACATCTCAAACGAGTTTCTCGATTAAAAATAAGTGTATTGTGTGAAAAATAATTTCTGTAATATTTTTTTCCTAGTTACCCATTAATTCGCCCAGTCGTCGTAAGTCATCCAAATCTAGTGAGGTTTGTCTTGATTCAGAACATCGTACAGTACATTTTAATCAAATGGTTAATGAAGACCATTCATCTAGTAGTAATTTATCAACCACAATTTCTTCAAATCCTCATACATTGCATGTTGCAAGAAAAGTCAGCTTTTCTGATCTACCTTTAGTGATTAACGTCGAAGAGCGTCAACTAGACGGCTTACATCAATCCTGTATCACTACTGAGGACAAAGTTATCTACGGTGAAGATGATGATTCCGGTCATCATATTGAAGTCCGCCTACTGAATCGAGATATCGATGAAATGCCGACCTTGCCATCAGAATTGAAAAATAAACCTGTATTTGAAATAAAACTTGGGATGCTTAAACAAGCGACAGTTTATCGGACAGAATTTACAATACCGGATAATTTGAAGTCAGGTGAATTGGAAATTCTACGAACTGTTACAGAAATGGATGGTCATGTTGGTGTACCAGTTAATGTCGGTGCTTCATTTAATTTACTAAGCTGTGAACCTATCCCTTCACCTGGTCACGGTAAGACAGATGAATTAGTATTCTTTTTTTACATAATTTACTTATTTTATAATAATCATTAAACGCAAAGATGGATGGTGACTAGCAGTAAAATCCAGAACGCGCATCTCATTCTATTTGCGACTCACCAGCTTTATGTACCTGGATCTCGGAGTCGATGTTCACTCCGAGACTTGAATCCAGCCTGTTTGCTTCAAGCACCTAACGTCTCACTCACTTAGCTACTAAGTCCAGATAACCACTGGCTTATGTAATGGGGTGAATTTTCATTCATTCATATTGTTAGTTTGGATCCTCCCATTGGTGTTTAGGACTGCTACTGATCAGTCTCCTTTGACATATATGCGTCCTGTGTGGCTTACTTCGGTATTTCTATTCAGTCACAAGCAGATTTAGGTTTCAGATTTTCATTACTCTTGGGAACAATCGCTTAGCCCAATATCTTAATGGTAATAAATACCATTACTGTTGTATGGTGATTTGGATTAGTTTGGATATATAAAGTAATCTTCACTTCTTCCACGCCTTACTTCCTGCGTATCTAAGCTGTCGCTCAACTATTTAAAAATTATCTCTAACCGTATTTGTGGGTATCAAGTATACTCCCATTTCCAAACACCCTGAATGGAACACTGAAGTAGGTCCCCCAACTCTCGTTGAAGTTCAAAAAGCTATAACTAATCTGGAATGAGGAAGAGCAGTTGGTCTAGATGGATTGGCTCAAGAGGTCTTTAAGGATGGTGGTCTAGTTTTAGCGATTAGGTTGACTAATATTTTAGCTAAAATGTGGGAACTGAATGTAATTCCATCTAACTGGTCGTAATCACTGATTGTCGCAATATATGAGAAGGGGTCAAAATCACCATGTGATAATCATAGCATCTAAAATACTAGAGTCAATAGTTATCGGATGCCTAACTAAGACTCATGAACTGCGAACACGAAATCAGGCTGGCTTCAGATCTGGTGGTGATTGCATCGACCACATATTCACCATTCGCCAGATTTTGGAACACAGGCATGCTTATCGGCGTTGGACAACTATAGTTTTCCTTGATTTAAAAGCACCATTTGACTGTATAGACCGCAAGATTCTGTAGCACTGTTTGTCATTGAAAGGTGTACCTCAAAAGTACATTAACCTTGTGAAGGCTGCTTACTCGTACAGTACCAGTCGAGTCAGAGCTAATGGCGAACTGTCATCTGATTTTGCAACCTCAAGTGCTCGCATCTGCTGGGATCAACGGGTAAGTAATAGTGAGGTTAGACGCAGAATATTAGAGAATGATGGTAAATCAGTTGATGAGGTTGTGAATCTTCATCGACTGAGATGGTTGGGCCACATGTTACGTATGCCTGAACACCGATTACTACGACGTGCAATGCTAACCGGTGTTCAGGATGGTTGGAAGAAAGTTAGGGGTGGCCAAACCAAAACGTGGCATCAGTGCTTGAAGTCACCAACTTCTAGTCTGAGCCATGTTGGTAGATGCAGACTACTTGGTTGGGGTCAGCGTGACTATCGTAACCAATTGTTGGATACTCTGGATAACATGGCCCAGAATCGATCACAAAGATGTTGGTGTTTACACTGTTCGTCTTCCCTTAAAACATGAGGTTAAATTACTTTATACCTTTCTACTAAATAATTCGTTCTCCCTGTATTATGTCCTTATATGCAATCTTTCTTTTATATATTACTGCCACTGAAGTAACTGCTTCTATGAATATGGTGTTCGTCTTGTTGTGCTAATGAAGTGTGGCAACTTGGAACGATGCATATATGCACCTGGTCCTACGATGATTGACTGACCTACCCAGATCGATTTTAATGGGAAGTTGTAATTTGTACAGTTAAATAGTAAATTTTTCTTGTTGTCAAATTTACCACATCACATTAGCAAAACGTGACGAATTGCAAAATCAATCAAAATAATATAGTAGTGAGAATAACGAGAACTACTGACTATTGAGGAACTGTCTTGAAAAGGCGATACAAGGGTTTACATGAAAGTGTCGTGGATTTCAGGATTGAAAGGAAGATAAATTGTGAATACGTCTACACCATTGTGAATGATTCAGAGCCATGTCATTTAAAGTTTCTAACCAGTGATCGTGGTTATTATGTGGACCTCAACCATTTAGTCTGCATCTACCAACATGGCTCAGACCAACACCCAGTGGCTTCATGGACTGACGCCATGTTTTGGTTTAACCTCCCCTAACTCTGCCAACGTACTCTTATAGCATCAGGCATCGCTTGCTGAAATAAGCAATGATTAGGCATAGGTAACACATGTTCTAACCATTTCAATCGATTAGGATTTTTGCGTATCAGGTTTGTTGCATTTATTTTACAGTTAATTATTGAATGAAAAGGTTTACTACACTTTGTTCCCTCTGTGAGTGTGTTTTCTGTATGTTACCATGTTGATCTATTTGTTTTCTCTTGTTTGCTTAATTTTTCATTATTCTGCTCATATAGGTCATATAATAATTATGGAGATTTCAACTACAAAACAATCACGTGTCAATGAGTTAATCACATTACGTCGAGTCGAAACTATAACAGATGCTGTTTGTCTACTTTTGCATGGTATTTCTTTAGGTAAGTTAGATTAATTCACATTTTTTCACTCTTCCACCCATACACTTTAGAAATATCTAAATTTACTGGTTCAATGAATATTATATATAATCTGTAATGTGAAGAGAATTTTTATTATTAAATTGCATCAATTAGGAAACTACTAAGTTTGCTTATGTTGCTTAGTATTCTTGGACACTTCACTCCACTCGACCGGTTTTCAAATCAAAACACTACTTGAACATAACGTAAATATATTCCAAAGCAAAACAGCAAGTGACAAAATCCCAATGCGTGTCTAAACTGTACGCAGTATTCCAGAGTCTCAGCCCTAGGTGGGGATGATTCAGACGTTTTCAGTTTCATCTCAGCCCTTAAACAATATCGTTATTTGGTGCATTTTATATCACTCACGAATTTGTTGACTTCATTGATCGATATCTTTTCCACATATAAAAGTATATAAATCCATCTGAATATTAGTCGTTAGTGTAGGCATAGAATTATTTCTGAAATTGAGTTTACCTATGAAGAGATCATTTTTAGTTTGAAAATGTACATTTGATATATGAGGACTGGCTGTGAATTATAGAACACTTACTTATTTATGCTTATTACTACTCGAGGAGGACCATAGGACACCTATCAGGATTCGCCATCGAAACCTGTCCTAGACAATCCTTTCCAGTTGCTATTTTCCCTTTCCTTGTCTGCCTCCAATTCCTGACGTAATTTGTTCTTTGACCTTCCTCTTCTACACTTGCCTTCAGGATTCCAAGTTAGTACTTGCCTCGTGATGCAGTTTGGTGATTTCTTCAATGTATGTTCCATCCGCATCCAACATCTTTTCCTAATTTCCTCTTCAACTGGAAGCTAGTTTGTTCTCTCCCATAGTAGGTTGTTGCATATAGTATCCGGCAAACAGACATTGAGTATCTTGCGTAGACAACTGTTTATAAATACCCTTGCCTTTTTGATGATAGTTGTAGTAGTTCGCGTTTCACCTCCGTGTAATAGAACTGCATTGACGTTCGTATTGAAGATTCTGACAGTTGTTTCTAGTCCCATATGCTCTTCGATTGTAGAAATACTGCCCTTGCTTTGCCGATTCATACATTAACATCTGTGTCATATCATCCTTGTCTGTCGATGATGCTGATTCGATACGTGAAAGCTTCTATCCCTTCCAGAGCTTCTCCATCAAGTGTGACTGCGTTGGTGCTCTCTGTGTTGTATTTGAGGATCTTGCTTTTCCCTTGTGTATGTATGTAATGCAGTCAATCAGTAGAGGAAAGAGAAAGGGAGAGAGTAGATAGCTTTGTCTGACACTGATTCTCAATTGGAATGCATGTGTCACATGTTCTCCATGCACGACTTTGAAGTGTAATCCGTCATATGAATTCCGTATGATGTTGACGATCTTCTCAGACACACCATAATGTCGAAGAAGGTTCCTTAAGTTCCTCCTATCCACACTGTTAAGAGTTTTCTCATAATCAAGGAAGTTGATGTATAGTGACGAATTCCATTCAATCGATTGTTGAACGACGATCCGTAGTGTCGCAACCTGGTCTGTGCATGATCGATTCTTACGGAACCCAGCTTGTTGATCTCGAAGTTAGACGTCTACTGTATCTTCCACTCGGTTCAACAACACTCTGTCGAAAACTTTTCCTGGTACCGATAGTAGTGTGAAGCCTCTCTGTTTCTAACACTTGCTGAGATCCGCTTTCTTTGGTATCTCGATGAGACTTCCTTCTTTTCAGTCTGTCGTCACTTGTTCTTCCTCCCAAATCTTTATGAATAGAATGCGGAGCATGTTTGCAGTTACCTCTATGTCTGACTTCGATGCTTCAGGTGGTATATTTTCAGAGCGTGCTGTTTTCCCACTCTTGATTTGTCTGATGGCCATGTTGATTTCCTCGACCGTTGTGGAATGACATCTATGGGAAGGTCTGTGTGTTTTGCCTCGATGTCTGGTGAGTTCAGTGAGACTGATCTTTTCACGAGTTCTTCAAAGTGTTCTACCCATCTGTTCCTCTGTTCCTGAATCTGAGTGATTGGCATGCCTTCTTTGTCCTTGACCGGTCTCTCTGCTTTACCATATTTCTCTGCCAGTTTCTTCGTTGTATCATATGGTTGTCTCATATTTCCTTCTCTTGCAGCTTTTCCCCTCTGTCATTGCTAAGTCTTGCACATATTTCCGTTCGTCGGCTCTAATGTCCTTCTTCACTTGCTTGTTTACTTTTGTGTATTCGGTCCGTGCCTTGACTCTTTCTGTTCTTGTTCGGCTGTTGTTATTTGCTGTCTTCTTGTTCTTCCTTTCTTGAATCCTGTTCAAGGGTTCAATAGAGATTCATTCCTTATGATGATGCATTTTGCGGTCCAGCACCTCCTGACACGTTGAAGTTAGTTATTCCTTGTTTTTTCCCCAGTTCTTCTCCATAGTAGTTTCTTCCAGTAGATCCTGTAAGGCTTAGTAGCTGTTGTTAAGAGTTATCCTGAATTCGTTGAGTTTGTCAGTATATCGAAGAAAGACTGTACTGAACCCTTGTAATGCTGTTTCCCCAGCTGTCCATTGCTTCTTTAGCTTCAGTTTTATTGTAGCAGCCACGACTAGGTGGTGATCTAAAGCTATGTCATTAGATGGTGGTTGGAGGTAGTCAACAGGAAACCCTGGACCCGGGTTTCGTGCTACTTGGCACTCGTCAGCAAGGTGTACCTGTAATCTTGAGGGAACTGGTGCTCCCTGGCGGATTCGATCTCGTGTCACCCAGCTTCACAGTCAGAGACGTTACCACTGAGCTATCCGAGCCGTGACTAACCTCCTGTAGGACTGATCGATAGCATTCGATCTGCACTAATAAGGACTAGACAAGCATGAGATTGATCACCACCCACTGATCAATCAATTGTGATTACATCTCAGTCCTACAGGAGGTTAGTCACGGCCCCGATAGCTCAGTGGTAACGTCTCTGACTGTGAAGCTGGGTGACACGAGATCGAATCCGCCAGGGAGCACCAGTTCCCTCAAGGTTACAGGTACACCTTGCTGACGAGTGCCAAGTAGCACGAAACCCGGGTCCAGGGTTTCCTGTTGACTACCTCCAACCACCATCTAATCTCAATACATAGTGCCCGCAGTGTCGAGTCACCTAGACTGGTGGCCACATTGCAACATGATCGATAGCATTCGATCTGCACTAATAAGGACTAGACAAGCATGAGATTGATCACCACCCAGTGATCAATCAATTGTGATTACATCTCAGTCCTACAGGAGGTTAGTCACGGCTCGGATAGCTCAGTGGTAACGTCTCTGACTGTGAAGCTGGGTGACACGAGATCGAATCCGCCAGGGAGCACCAGTTCCCTCAAGATTACAGGTACACCTTGCTGACGAGTGCCAAGTAGCACGAAACCCGGGTCCAGGGTTTCCTGTTGACTACCTCCAACCACCATCTAATCTCAATACATAGTGCCCGCAGTGTCGAGTCACCTAGACTGGTGGCCACATTGCAACATGATCGATAGCATTCGATCTGCACTAATAAGGACTAGACAAGCATGAGATTGATCACCACCCAGTGATCAATCAATTGTGAAAGCTATGTCAGCTCCTCTCCTGGTTCTCACGTTTCCCATTGACCTTCTGAAGTTTTTATTGATGCAAAGATGATCGACCTGATTCTCTGTAGTGTGATCCGGTGAGAGCCATGTAGCTTTGCATTTGTGGGGGAATGTTGTGCCGCCTATAACCTCTTTGTTGGATGCACATAAATTTGCAAATATGTCACCATTCTCGTTCCTTTCTCGCAGTCCATGTCGCCTCATAAGACTGATCGTCTTCATTGTTATCATTGGTGGGTGGATAACACTAGATAGTGTTGATTGTGATTCCCTTCTTCTTTATTTTGAAAGATGCTTTGATGATCCCGGATCCATCAGACTCCCACCTTTTAAACGCTTTTCGTGCTTCTTTGGAGAGCATCAGTTCAACTCACTGCGTGTGCGAAGTACTTACTTCTTCATGACCAGAGCACAACAGCATCTCTCCTGAATCCAATTTTTTTTGTTCAGTTTGGGTCCAATGGGTTTCGCTGATTCCGAGCACCGTTGAGTTGTATCTCCTGATTTCCGTAGCCATTTGATTAATCCTCCCGGGAACTACAGCAACCCTAGAAGAGCTACAGGTGTAGTTGCATACAAAAGTTAGACACCTAAATTGTTCCTCTGGAAATAAGCTCAATTTAAAAGTTTTGCATTGGTTACTAACAAATGTCAGTCAGTCAGTCAGTCAGTCAGGTACAACGTAGGACCAGGAACATATATGCATCGGTCCAAGTTGCCATACATCAATAACTCAACAAGATGGACACCGGATTCATATAAGTAGTTAATTCAGAGGTGGTAATCTATAAAAGAAAGATATGAAGCGATTTTGTTCTCTTTTAGTTTAAGGGAAGACAGACAGTGTATACACCGATGTCATTGTGGTCGATTCTGAGCCATGTCACCAAGAGTCTCCAACCATTGGTTACGATAGTCACGCTGACCCCAACCAAGTAGTCTGCATCTACCAACATGGCTCAGACTAGAAGTTAGTGACTTCAAGCACTGATGCCACGTTTTGGTTTGGCCACCCCTAACTTTCTTCCAACCATCCCGAACACCGGTTAGCATTGCACGTCGTAGTAATCGGTGTTCAGGCATACGTAACATGTGGCCCAACCATCTCAGTCGATGAAGATTCACAACCTCATCAACTGATTTACCATCATTCTCTAATATTCTGCGTCTAACCTCACTATTACTTATCCGGTGATCCCAGCAGATGCCAGCAATATTTCTAAGGTATCTGTGTTCAAATACTAGTAGCTTACGAGTGTCTTCTACTCTTAATGGCCATGTTTCACTGCCGTAAATTAAAACAGAACGGACTAACAAAGGTAGCATATGAAACAAATTCTTCTTCAGGTCTTTCATCAATTCTAAGAAAATTATATCGCAAGTTAAATAAAGAAGTTTGAGTAGTGAAAATCTCTGTTAATTTTTGCACATTAGGATCAAAAGAAAAATGTTGGGCTTTTTTGGCAAGATAAGATTTGAATATCTTTTATGTTCAGTTACTCCAAGTTTCTGAAGTAGATTTCTCACCTTCGAAGTGTTACCATGATGTGTAAAATCATTTTGAAAAATGTCTTGATATCTCCTGAACCATGATTGAAATGTGATGCAGAATTATGTGATAATAAAGAAAGATATGAATTGAGGATAAACGACAATGATGTAATGAAATTTCAGAAAGAGTTGAAATAATGAATGACTCAATAAAAAGGATGTAACGTTACCGGGGTAAAGAAAGATTTTTTACTTCTTCTTTTTGGATAAATAGATCTGGTTTTAGACTTTTGTCGATATCGCTTCGGCAGATTTTGGAAGATTGGAGTTTGATTGTTTGTTAATCACCTTGAAGGACTTCAGTGTATCGGCCTGATGTCATGTTTCAAGATGTCTTGAGATTGCACTGCTGAATGCTTCTAATTCATTTGACCTCGGATTTTTCAGAATATGTTCTTTGAATCGGACGTAGACTCTCCTTCCTGTTGTACCAATGTAACTGCTTTGGAAGATACATGTGATTTTGTATACATAGTTGGTGGTAATATGAAAGGGATACCTATCGACCTTTGTGCTAAAGAACATGTTGTTTTGGATAGGACAATCGGTTAAGCTGCCGGATAAGTTCTTGTCGATTCAGTTTTTAGCCTCACACTGATTGACCCTGTCACATCATCACCTTTGAATTGAAGTTGAATAAAAATAGGTTTTTTTGTTTACTGTAGTTTCTTTGGGTCTTTTATCTTCATGTTTTGTATATTTCTCAATGAATTTCAGGGGTATCCGTTGTTTCTTAACTACTTATTAACATTCATTCTTTCCTATTCTAGCGTATCGGCAGAACATAGTGTTTTAACAAGTGCCTTTTTGTAACTGATTGGACAAAAGCTATTGAAATAGAGATAAATCTCATTCCATGTGTCTTTCCTATAAACTGGACGTTGAACTGTGCCATCCTTCCTTCGTTTTATTGCGATATCGAGAAAATGGAACTTGTTTTCATTTTTATGTTCCATGGTAAACTAGATATTTTTATGGGCTCCATTGAAAAGTTTCCACAGATTTGTTGCATGTTGTTGATTATTACAGACGATGAAGGTGTCCTCAACATACCTCAAATAATACACCACTTCGTCAATCGCGGGGGCGGCCAAACCAAAACGTGTCATCAGTGCTTGAAGTCACCAACTTCTAGTCTGAGCCATGTTGGTAGATGCAGACTACTTGGTTGGGGTCAGCGTGACTATCGTAACCAATTGTTGGATACTCTGGATAACATGGCCCAGAATCGATCACAAAGATGTTGGTGTTTACACTGTTCGTCTTCCCCTAAAACATGAGGTTAAATTACTTTATACCTTTCTACTAAATAATTCGTTCTCCCTGTATTATGTCCTTATATGCAATCTTTCTTTTATATATTACTGCCACTGAAGTAACTGCTTCTATGAATATGGTGTTCGTCTTGTTGTGCTAATGAAGTGTGGCAACTTGGACCAATGATTATATGTGCCTGGTCCTGACTGATTTTTCGGTTTTAACTTTTCTGTTAGCCACCATGCAACGTGGTGGTGTGGTGAATTGACTATTGTCAGAATAGGTCTAAGAGGAATACATTGTTTTTATGTCTTTGTCAAACCATTAATGTGCGGCAAACAAAATCCACAAGGTTGTAGTTTAATGTAAGTTGAATCATCGACCATCCTCAGAAGATCTCTGAGTACATTCGTGATTCTTTTCTCAACTTAATCATATATGTCCTTGGTAATTTTATCTACATTAAAAGATTTATTTCAATTTACTAACAGTATGAACCATGTAAATATTTTTGGTAATTTTGTGATTTCCTTTGATGTTACATCGATTTGAGGTTGATTTAAATCATCAATAGCTCATACTTTATCTTGATTACAGTTTAGTTTTTTAATATCTGTGCATCTTTTCTTTGTAATAAACCAAAACACGTTCTTTGCTTTTGAAATATATAATACAAGCTAAAGGACAAGGTACTCCACTTCTACGTTCTGGTATACATCGAATTACTGAGAATCAAGATTATATTGATTCGGATGATTATACTGAATGGCCTGGTTATGTGCATACAGAGGATGATGATGACCAGGAGGAAGAAAGTTGTGGTGTGGAGAAGGCGAAAACTACTCTTGTGGCAACTGAGAATATCGATGCTAATCAAGGTGATGATAATGACGATGAATCACCGTAGAATTTATTATTATTATTATTATTATTATTATTATTATTATTATTATTATTATTATCTATCCAATATTGTTTTCCCTCCCCGATGTTCATTTTGTATTTTTCTTTCTGGTGTTAGTTTTCGTTTTGTTGTTATATCTTATTCGGTGCATATAATTGTCCCTTGCTTTTCTCTAATCGAGCAATTCTAACTCATTCCTTTTGACTGATCCCGTAATTATTTTTTTGCACATTGTTCATTTATTTTGCCTCAATCTCTTTGTCTGTCTTGTTCGCTTACTACTTCATTTGTTTTATTGTACCTCGACATTCGCACGCAATCACATTCGTTGTTGCTAAGTATCGATCTGTGCACGATGACGACTTATGACAAGAACTCACCTAGATACTTTTCTTTCTAAATACTGTTTTTTTTCGATGTTAAAAAATGATAATATTTATGGTAATTAAAACATGTTACAAATACTTTGTCCCTATCCCCTCTTAGTTTGTTTATAGGTTTTGTCTTATCTATTTTCGTGTAAGTACTGATTGACTGATTGTTGGCCGAGTAGTTGTAAAACTTTAAACTTTATCAGTTATTGGTTTAAACAGCTGAGACGATAAGATCAGTATTTTAACGTTTACACCAAAATAGAGATGTATTATTCTCATAAGCTGTCTGCTATCGAGTAGTATTACCATGATAAATTTTGAATTACTAAAGTACAAACACTGAATTTTTTTATATAAAAAAACTACATACAGACGGTGTCAATATTTTTAGAGTTAATCAATTATTGTTCTATACAGATATGTACATGCTTATTTTTTTGAGAATAATGTACCATTGACTGATACGATCACTGCTAATATTACTATGACAACTAACATTTCTTTTTCTTTATGAGAATTCGTGATCTTATGTTAAATACTGTTGAGTCTCCATTTTTTAAAATAATAATTGCAATAATAAATAGCATAATAATAATAATACTAGTACTAATATTTTTATTTCTCACGAAGCTTCGTTATACCTCCTTTTGTCCAATGCACTCGAAATATTCTCAACAATTTATCATTTGCCTTTCTCAAATTGTAGATCATGATTAGCAAAATACCCTCATGTGATGCGTTCTTTTCCCTCGTTCTTTCTTTGGTACCAACGTTTTTCATAATTCTGCATTACTCCTTGTCAATATTTTCAACCACTAATCCTTTCGATTACTTTCCCTCTACAACATACTTTTATAAAATTCCTCTTCGCATATTCATATATAACTACTACTATTACTATAACCATTACTATTGCTATTGCTATTACTACTATTATTACTACTACTAAAGAACTCACCACATGGGATTTTGTAGCCTCAGTAAGTTTTGAAAAGTGTGGAACTGACAAATGAAGAATCACTCGGAATACTCTCGTGTATAACCTACCTTGAGCGTTTGTCCTTTGGTGGAATCAGTGGATGTTATCATTCGTCCAAGATGTCAAGCAGCCTAGCTGTACTTTTAAGTATCTCATGAAGTAGTACGCTATGAAGGTGTTTGCAACCAGAAATTAGCAATGACATGTACACCGATCGTATGAGTTCAATCTTGTTAGAAGTAAAACGTGATGGATCGTGTCTGCAAAGTATCATCACTAATTGATTTAAGTTGGAAATCTGAACCACTATTTACCTGTTCATTGATCTAAGTATAGCGTCTGTAGTGAGTAATTGACTGTCCCTCTTGGTTTTAAATTATTCAATCCACATATACTTGACAAAATACTGATCATTACGTATTGCTTGTCTTTTACACTGTAGACAGAGATGTATTATATAGTTAGATCAATACTAAATATAGCTGACCATACATTTTAGGACATTAATTCACAAAATAGGGGAAGGGGTGTGTGAAAAATGAAGGTACTGAACGATAGAAAAATATTTCTGGAAACATACTATGACAAGTAACAATAGTTGGGGCGAATTATTTGTATTCATATGTTCTGTGTAAGTCAATTGCATCCCGCTTGTTACGCTATTTGTTTAATTACAACGACCATCACGGACTGACTTAAGACAACCGTTGGAAAAATCAATAAGTATTGAGCACGTGTTTTATCATAGTATGTGACTACTTAGTGCTTCGGGTCAGGAGTCAAACTCGTGAATTTCAGGTTTGGCGGTGAGCACTCATTCAGTCAGTCAGCTACAATGTAGGATCAGGCACATATATGCATCGGTCCAAGTTGCCATACATCAATAACTCAACAAGATGGACACCGGATTCATATAAGTAGTTAATTCAGAGGTGGTAATCTATAAAAGAAAGATATGAAGCGATTTTGTTCTCTTTTAGTTTAAGGGAAGACAGACAGTGTATACACCGATGCCATTGTGGTCGATTCTGAGCCATGTCACCAAGAGTCTCCAACCATTGGTTACGATAGTCACGCGGACCCCAACCAAGTAGTCTGCATCTACCAACATGGCTCAGACTAGAAGTTAGTGACTTCAAGCACTGATGCCACGTTTTGGTTTGGCCGCCCCTAACTTTCTTCCAACCATCCCAACACCGGTTAGCATTGCACGTCGTGGTAATCGGTGTTCAGGCATACGTAACACGTGGCCCAACCATCTCAGTCGATGAAGATTCACAACCTCATCAACTGATTTACCATCATTCCCTAATACCCTGCGTCTAACCTCACTATTACTTACCCGGTGATCCCAGCAGATGCCAGCAATATTTCTAAGGCATCTGTGGTCAAATACTAGTAGCTTACGAGTGTCTTCTACTCTTAATGGCCATGTTTCGCTGCCGTAAATTAAAACAGAACGGACTGCCGCGCAGTATACTCGTCCTTTTATTGATAGACGGATATCTCGCCTTCGCCATAGGTGACGTAAGTTGGCAAAAGAAACAAAATTTTCGAATCCGTGCTGAGATTTCGTCAGACACCAACCCATTAGGGCTGATCAGACTTCCAAGATAAGTGAAGTTGTCAACGCGTTCGACTACTTCACTCCCTATCCTTAGTTCAGGTGTTGACGCAGACCAGTCCTGAAGCAACAACTTGCATTTAGAGGGAGAGAAGCGCATTCCAAACATTCTGGCATTGTTGCTTAGTGCTACCAAAGACTCTGCATTTTGTCAGCGTCTTCACCAAACAGGACTATGTCATCTGCGTATTCTAAGTCGATAAGTGGACCTCCTGGAAGGAGATCAATACCCGAGAATTCAGTCGACGAGAATGTTATTTCCATCAATAGGTCTATGATGAAGTTAAACAAAAATGGAGAAAGTGGACAGCCTTGACGGACACCACTTGAGGTTGCAAAAGTAGATGACAGTTCGCCATAAGCTCTGACTCGACTAGTAGTGTTCGAGTAAAGAGCCTTCACAAGGTTTATGTACTTCTGAGGTACGCCTTTCAATGACAGACACTGCCACAGAATCTCGCGGTCTACAGAGTCAAATGCTGCTTTTAAGTCAAGAAAGACCACCATTGTCGGACGCCGATAAGTATGCCTGTGTTCTAGAACCTGACGAATGGTGAATATGTGGTCGATGCAGCCACGACCAGGTCTGAAGCCAGCTTGATTCTCTCGTGTTTGCAGTTCACGAGTCTTAGTTAGGCGTCTGATAATTATCGAGGCTAGTATTTTAGATACTATATTAGTTAAACTAATCCCTCTGTGGTTGTCACAGGATGATTTTGACCCTCTCTTATATATTGGGACGATAAGTGATTGTGACCAGTCAGATGGAATAACGTCTAACTCCCAGATCTTAGCTAAAATATTAGTCAACCTAATCGCTAAAATTGGACCACCATCCTTAAAGACCTCTGGAGCCAATCCATCTGGACCAGCTGCCCTTCCTCGTTTCAGATTAACTATAGCCTTTTGAACTTCAGCTAGAGTTGGGGGACCTACTTCAATGTTCCATTCACACTGTCTGGGAATGGAGGGTAGTTGTAGAGTAGCTGAAGGCCAACTGAAATGTTCCGCCCATCGTTCTAAACGTCTGGACTGAGAGCAGATGAGGGTGTCGTCTTTTTCCGAAATAGTCTGACTTACACTTGACTTATTAATTCCAGTTTCTTTTATTAGTCTGTAGAGCTGTCTTGTGTTCCCTATAGTCGCCGCCTTTTCCATCTCTTTTGCTTTCGTTGCCCACCACTGCTCACGGTCGTTCCTTAGACTTTTGCTTAACCTAGATCTGATTTGTTTCGCTCTTCATCGTGTTCAGAGCCTGATGGGATGAGTTTACGAGAATCCATCAGTGCAATAGACCTTGAGAAATCCATTGGTTCTTTGTAACTCTGTGGTTTAAATCACTGATAGATGTCACTGCTGTTTCCACAGCTGTTTGTATAGCTTTCCAAGCAACATCTGGGTCAACCTCGTTTTCAGAACTACCTAAGTGTGACCTCAGTTGTTCCTGGAACCTACTTTTGGTTTTCTCACTACTCAATTCAGTTCTAATGGGTCTTTTTAATGTGGCTTTTTTGCGTCCAGTGAGGCGCAAGCAGATGCGTGCCCGTATTAGGGCATGGTCGGAGTCCAAGCAGGTACTCCAGAATGAGCGACAATCTTCTACCGACCCTCTCCAACGATGACTGATGGCAATATGGTCTATTTGAGTCCATCGTTGGTTTGGTGTAGGGGGTCGCCATGTTAGACGATGTCTCTCCTTATGCTTAAAATTTGTGTTTGCTAAAAATAAACGATTGTCTGAGCACAGTTGCAGCAGACGATCACCATTATCTGTTCGTTGTGCCGGAATACTAAAATCCCACCTAAATGCCTTTCTGTTTGGTTTAAACTGCCTATCTGGGCATTAAAGTCACCTGCTACGAGTACTATGTCTGAGCGTTTAGCTTTCTGAAGAAGTTCAGAAGCTTTCTGTAAAATTCATCTTTCACTTCATCTGAGCTGCAGTCAGTGGGAGCGTAGGCAGAAACGACAAAAAGGCAACGACGTGTGTCCCTATCCTTCCGAGTTCTTACGGAGCCGTTTAGCC